TTGTTCAAGACATAAATGTGAAACCCAATTTTTAAAAAGTACAATCAATGAGTAAAGAAATATTCAGAATTTTTTTTATATCTTTGTATCTACCGATCTCCTGGTCACCATCAAAATAAAATAAGTTTACATCTCCATAGTTTTTTCTGAAGACAGCAACAGTTGAAATAAACTAAAAAAAGAAATTTCTAAAAGAATTAGAAAACATATTTCAAATAACTGAATTTTTTTTCTGAAATGTTTGTGTTTCTCCAACTCGAGTTGAGTGTTTTGGATACATCGTGTTTTTTAATGAGAAGAATAAAGGAGCAACTCAGTGCATCAACACAGGCTAAACTCTCCCAGTTACCACAAGGAACTTGGTGTGCCACCCCAAAATTTTATTTGGCCCTGTCTGGCCACCCTTACAATATCCCCCAGAGACCCACGGTTGTAATATTACAACATCAAATTTAAGTCTACAAAAATAAACCTTCCCCATTTTTTTTCTTTTTAAAACCACATTTACATTGCTAATAGGTCCTATTGTTCAGTTCTGCAACACTATTGGCTGTTAAAATGTGTAAATAGGCCCGTTTATCTGGCCTAGAACAACATGTGAAAGGTAAAAAAATGATTTTGCAGTTGTTTTCTAAATTTGGGTTTCTGGGGGATAAAGATGTTTTGGGGGCACCCCTGTTTGTGGGCAGCAGTAGCTCAACAGGTTGAGCGGGTTGTCCAGTAATCGGAAGGTTGCAGGTTCGATCCCGGCTCTGGACAGAGAATTCTGCTGTTGTGTCCTTGGGCAAGACACTTAACCCACCTTGCCTGCTGATGGTGGTCGGAGGGACCGATGGCACCTGTGCTCGGCAGCCTCGCCTCTGTCAGTGCGCCCCAGGGCAGCTGTGGCTACATCGTAGCTCATCACCATCAGTGTGTGAATGGATGAATGATACACTGTAGTGTAAAGCGCTTTGGAGTCCTTACTCTGAGAGGTGCTATGCAAGTGCGGGTCATTTATCATTTATCATTTGTCTTGTGCAAACTACATTTCAAATGTACAAACAAAAACAAGCACAAACCAGCACTTTTACTATGATTGTATACCACTAACAAAGTAAAGGCTGCAGCACGTCAGTGAAGCAGTAGATTAATCCAAAGATTCCTTTAATTGTTATTGCTCGAGTATAAAATGAAATGTAGTCACCCCAGCTTAGGAGCAGCCGCTCATCGAGGAGGTCGTAAAGGGAGGATCTAATTCAGATGATCAATAAACAACAGCAGGGCCGGCCGGCCGAGAAGGGTAGCCATCTCTGAGAGGATTAGCATGTGTGTCTGTGTGTAAAAGCTGGTAATAAATTCTTCATGAGGCTCAAATGAACCCTAAAATTTTAGGTAAACTGGTTCATAAAACAGAAATCCATCACACACACACACACACACACACACACACACACACACACACACACACACACACACACACACACACACACACACACACACACACACACACACACACACACACACACACACACACACACACACACACACACACACACACACACACACACACACACACACACAACTCCGTGGCATCCGCTCAAATTTAAGCAATCTCTCATTTTCAGCTTATTCATTTATTCGGTTTGAACTGCTGGTCGATTTAAAGACGTGGGCAGCGACTTGGAGCTGGCCTGCAGAAAGTTCTCATGTCTCAGTGAGCATAAAACAACCTCACTCTTCATATTTTACTGGTTTTATTATCCAATTTCTAGCAGGGGCTAAATTTAATGTAATTTGTCCTTTGCAGTAAAAAGTTTTACTTGAGTCTTGGCAGTTTATTGCTACAATATCTAACGGAAGAACACACATATACAGCTTTCTCTGGTTCTTCAGTGCATCTTTGCAGAAAATTGATTTTTAACTATTTTAGTGTTTATCCTTTTTGTGTTTTTTTTATTGTAAAACTTTGTTTAGGGTGTTAAATTGCAACAAACATTCAAAAAGTAATGATTTAATTAAATTCTTTACACCAAGAGTTTAATTTTTTTCAACTACAAAGCTGCTGCAAGACCGTGTCCCCTAGAAATGATTGTGTCTTTGGAACGGACTTAATTGAATAAATGGGTCTTATAATGATTAGTCTTAATATTATGCAGGGAAAACTCAACCGGCTAGAGAAACTTGTTCTCCAGAGAATCTTAATTTTAATTTTGTATTACTCCACAGCTGCTTGCAGAACAAACAAGACAAATCATTTTGCATTCAGAGGCTCTCTCCGTATCGGAGCACAACAGCAGCAACGCCGCCTCTCATGAAAAATGTTCTCGCTGCAGGTCGTATCTGTCACCAACATTAAATCACCTGGCTTTGTTTTTGTCTTGATTTAAGAAATTCTTGATGCAAACTGTCCAGACTCTTCAATTTGGAGAACTTCCTCAGACTTCCTAAAACCCAAGAGGAAGGCTGAAAATGTCCACTACATTGCCCTCTGAACAACTTACATAGCACATTTCACACACTACATGGACAGACTGGTCTTTGCTGCCTTGTTGTTGCTTTAAAGGGACTTTGCAACTTTTTCATATTTTTAAATCATTTTCTTGAGCCATTATGTGGTAAAACGACCCTTTACAGCACATATGTCAGACTCAAGGCCTGCGGGCCAGATGCGGCCCGCAGAGCATTTTTATGTGGCCCGCGAGATAAATATCAAAAATATATTAAAACTGGCCCGCTGGCCAATTTTACCGCAAAGACTACAACTCCCATGATGCTTTGCGGCGTCAGCGCGGAGCCGACGCACCCCCTACTTTGTGTCTTTTCCAGCGCCTGCTGCCAGTGTGCAGCTCCGCTGCCTCGGACAAACTCCTCTCACTCAGCGCCGAACTCACTCAGCTATTTTCTGACATTGAAGCCTAGAAACGGAGATTCTAGCCACTCAGTAATGTGTTCACGACTGAAAGAGAAAGTTTTCCAACTAACGTCCAGACAGAGCTGATATAACTCCAGAAAACAGCGACACGCTCAAACCAGCATGACTCTGTGGTTGCTGTCGTTGTGTTTCCTCCCCGACACACAACAACGTGGTCAAGCTGCTCAGACATGTTCATCAGCACAAACCTATGTGAGCACCTGTTGTCATCTAATGTTGTCATTATTATGATGAAGATGAACAAAACAACAGGAGTCTCCTCCTCAGCTCAGATCAACCCCATGATGCAGGTATCTGGCTGGAACAGGTGAGCATCACAGTAAACCAGTGGAGCAAACTGAGCTTTAAATATGTTGGTTTTATGCTCTTTTTCTGCTCCAAAACATGAAAGTTAACAGGTGAGATGTTGCATTTTCATTTAAGATAAAATGATATTTTTATTTTGTTGTTGGCCCGTGAGAAAAGATTTAAAAGATTTAAAGATTCAAAAGATTTAAAAAATGCTGATTATACCACAAGTAATGAATACCACTGATGCCTTTTATTTAAAACTGACTTGCTCGTGTGTAATTTGGTTATTCCACATTCAGTGTTAATGCAGAAATAAGTTTGTTTCCAAATTTAAAGGTTCAAAATTGCATAAATGTTGATAAAGAAAATGTGCAAATTTGCCGTCACTTTTTCAAAAAATATTAAGTTTGGCCCTCGACTCCGTCCCAGTTTCATTTCAGCCCCGTGTGAGTTTGAGTTTGACACCCCTGCTTTACAGGATTAATGAAAGGACGTCCAGCCCCTATCGCCCCCTGTGGCCAGAATATTCCACTTGCAACTTCAGAGAGGCAGGCCGCTCTGTTGGGACATACCTGATGCTGCAGTCCGCTTCCAGCACATTTCCTGCATGTTTTAGATCATGAACACAGCAGATATGTTTAATTTAGTGATGAATTACTGCTGTAGACACCAAGGAAGGCTGGAGAGCTGTTAGATTAGGGTGTTAAAAAGACAAAGACACAGCAAGGAGATAGATTTTGCTTTTGGTTCTACTTTGCTTTTGGTTCTACAAATGGACACTAGGGGGTGCTAAAAGCAAGCCAAAACTGCCTAGTTCCCCTTTAACGTTTCTGCTGCAAATTATATATAGTTTTGGTGGAACCAGGGCAGTGCCACGATCCAAATACAAATTTGAAACATTGAGGTCAAGGCTTGGGAACTGGACCCACCATTGCTTCACTATCCAAGAAATTCTGACCTCTGAGATGATCATCCTGGCAAGTTTTCAAATTTAAGTTCCTTATCTGTTAAATCACATCTATGTTGTGTTTATCGTGTGTATCCCACACATAGTTTCTTTAATTATCACAGAGGACACAGAGATCCTATGCTGTCTATGTTACCATGGTGATGTGAGTGCTTTAATATGACCAATCATAGGAAAATTTAAATAAATCTCATTTCAAAATACAGAAATATGTTGGTGGCTTTTGACAGACAACACTTTCTATATAGAAACACACTGCTTTATTATGCAACCCCAAAGCATACTTGAGCTGTTCAGCATCTCCGTAACGCCCTCTAGAGTCAGCAGATGGGTTTTCACATTCTCATTTTTCCATCTTTTCCTTCTTTAACAACCAGTCACACTGGCTCAGGTCCAGATGTCTCCATCTGTGCAAACTAACGTCAAGCTTCTCCATCTGTAACATATTACAGGCCCTTGATGCTGTTAGACATTTTCAGCCTCCCTAATTACACTTCTGTCTCTTTCATATCTTTATATCCCTTTCATGATCTCTAGATCCTGCATCCAGAAACTATCCGTCCACCTCTTATGTATCATTTGTAATCCTAGCATAAAACAGATAAACGGCCCTGACCTCTCTTCTTTTTTTCAAATAATTGCCATAATTATTAGAAATAATTTAGTTTTTCTGACTCACGGAGATAGAATGTTAGTAAAAGAAAATCATTGTTTTCACTGAAATAAAACAAATCACAAAGCCCAGTTGGCCAACTGGAGAACATGACAGACTACAAATGAGGATCTGCCACCATCTAGTGGCCGCGCAGCGCGGTTGCGTGTTGACGTCACACAACAATAAGGAAGTAGCGCCCAAACAAACTACACGAGTGTGTGTTGCTGGTTAACAGATTTGTTTCCATTACGGAAGACGCGTTTTTCTGAATAAAGTAACCACAAATTAAGACTTTTCTCATTTATATGAGGCTAATGAGTGTAACCGGCTGTTTTATGTTCGTTTTTGTGTTTTCTGGACAATCGAATGGAGAAGTATTCCCACCTGAGAGTCATCGGAGAAGGCTCCTTCGGTCGGGCTTTGTTAGTACAAAGTAAAATCACCCAGGACAAATATGTGGTGAAGGAAATCCAGCTTCCACAGGTATGTAGAAAGATAATCATCTCGGTGTTTATAATGTAGCGGTCGTCGCGAGCTCCTATCCAGCTTGTTCTAGTTGTTTCCCTGCTCCAACACACCTGTTTAATCAGCAGGTGATGACAGGCCTGATGAGCTGCAGAACAGGTGTGACCCGTTTTAACAGATGTGTGGTAGCAGGGAAACAACTGATCCCGACATTTCAAATATCTAAATTAATCCAAATATAACATAAAATTGTAAATGTGGTTTGGGATTTGTGTAGTCCTTATTTAAGCTGTTTTTGGGCCATATTAGAACTAATTAGGTTCTAAAGCTACAATACCTAGACTGTTGGACTACGGGCAGAATCCTAAAAATTCAAATTGTGATTTGTGAAACCATTAATAGAGGGTTTTTTATAGTTCTGTACAATTTTATTTTTGCAGTTGGATCAATTTAGAATTGTCCAAAACTTAAAAAAATAAATAAATCAACTACCAGTTTAATTGGACTGAATTTTTACAACAAAATGACACTGAAAGTACCAGAAATATTTTTAGATCTATTTTTTTTACATAATTTTCCAAACATAACATCCCATAAAGAAAAATATTCATACTGTTTTCGCAAAAGTTTTTTTTCTTATTTCTAAAACCCAGTCATAGAAATCAAAGTGTGTTTTTGTTTGTTTTCCAAAATGACGACAAATTCCTTATTGTACACACATATATATATATATATATATATATATATATATATATATATATATATGTGTGTGTGTGTGTGTGTGTGTCTTCTTTTTTTTTCAAATAAATCATGTAAAAACTGTGAAGGTTTACTTCTAGTGGACTGAGAGTGAACAGTCTTTTAAAGTGCTTTTCAAGATAAACATGATGAGGTACTTCACAAGAACAAAATTAAAACTAAAAAATAACAATAATAATTAAAGAATATTAAATGCAAAAGCCAGCCTGAACAGGTGACTTTTCAGCTGCCTTTTAAAGGAGACCACTGAGTCCACTGATTTCAGGCTCGGGGGAGAGAGTTCCAGAGTCTGGGGGCCGCAGCAGCAGATGATCTTTGTTGATCTTTAGCCTGGTGCTGCACATCCAGTAGGCTTTGATCACTGGACCTCAGGGACCTGCTGGGGGTGTAGGGACTGAGAAGATCATCAATGTAAGATGGTGCTTGTCCATGTAAGGCCCTATAGACCAGAACCAGGATCTTGAAATGAACCCTGGAGTTGACTGGCAGCCAGTGAAGCTGGAGGAGAAGCGGGGTGATGTGGGTGTGTTTGGAGGACTTGGTCAGAAGCCGAGCACAGGCATTCTGAACCACCTGTAGACGGTTCTGGGAGGTTCTGCTCAGACTGGTGAAAAAGTTGCAGTAGTGTAGTAAAGGTTGCAAACCGCTGGTGTAGAAGAATATTCATGTTTGAACACTCTGGTACTATAGGTTTAGAACGAGACCAAACAGCTGATTAAAGAACATTACTTTTGCTAGAAACCAAACAACCCCCCCCACCACTGAGACTTCTCCTTCTACATAACATCTGTATTTTTATAGAACCCTTCCAAAGCTGCAACTTCTAGGAGAGAAGCCGTCCTCCTGTCCAGGATGAAGCATCCAAACATCGTGGCCTTTAGGGAAGCATTTGAAGGTGATACCACGCCCAACCTCCCAGATTAAAACATTACAAGATACTTTAGGAGACGTGATCGTTTGGATTACAGCGTAGGAGATATGATTGTGTTTGTTCAGCCAGCGGCCTCTTGTGCATCGTTATGGAGTTCTGCAGCGGAGGAGATCTGCTTCAAAGGATTCAGAAACAGAAATCCACCCAGTTCAGAGTTGATGATGTAAGTCAGACTCGTATATAAGTATTTCTTATTATTAAAAAAAACTGTGAACGCGCCTCTTTTTTGCAGATCTTGAAGTGGTTTGCTCAGATGTGTGCGGGCGCGAAGCACATTCACGATAAGCGGGTTCTTCACAGAGATCTGAAGTCCAAGGTACAGTCGTGTCCGTCTATTTGTTCCCTCTCTGGGGTCTCATTAATAGAAGTTCTAGTTTAAAATCAACACATAGCAGTTAGCAGCTGTTTAAATGGATCAGACACATTTATGTAGAAATAAAAGTGAGGGTTTTTTTCACCATGGTGGGATTTAATGGGTACGAACTGTGTGATGAGAGTCATTTTGCTTCAGCTAGCTGCTCCTGCACTTTTCCTCATATTAATTCAGCGATCCCGCCTCTTGTTTCCTTCCTCAGAACATTTTCCTGGCAGACGGCGGCTCCATTAAGCTCGGGGACTTTGGCTCGGCTTGCGTTCTGAACAGGTGCAGCCGGAGAGCCACTTTGGCGCTGTTTGCCGCTGATGTCATTTTAAAGTTTGATTTTACATTTGTGGCAGCTCTAAAGCGTACGCTCGTGCTTACGTTGGGACGCCGTATTATGTGGCTCCGGAAATCTGGGAGAACAAGCCGTACAACAACAAGAGGTAAATCACTGATTGCCCCGTTAGTGATAAAAACAAGCAGAACGTTGTTTGATTTGCAAAATATTTGTAAAATATGAGACACAGACATTGCATACGTGCAAAGAAGGCACAAAAGTTTAGGAAAAAGCAGGTAAAAACTAACGTAGAAAAGAAAAGTGGTTTCTTCTATTGCACTGATTATTTATTCTATTATAAGTGGGACACCATGTTTGCTGTCAGAGACCAAAATCCCCAATTATTTCTAATTTAATAAAACAAAAATTGTTTAGAAGCTAATTAAACACGAAAAAAGCAACAAAATCAGTAAGTCAGAACAAAACAATGTTAATAATTACTCACAGACTGAATTTCATCTCTTGGAAAACTTTCTAAATTGCTCATTTAAACAAACTGCATGTTTTCCACAGTTGCTCCTTGTGGGGTAAACTACAGCTCTGCTCTGGTCAATAGTCATCAAAGCTGCCAATAAATACCCTGCAGTGTTGTTTTTATTATTGGAGGATAAAAAGCTGCATCATGTTAGTCTTTTGTTGTTCTTACTGAGGGAATTATGTTAGTTGCTGGTTTTGCTTTTCTTCCTTAAACCCTAGGCCTATTTTCACTGGCCTACTGATCAGGTGCCTTATTTGCTCATGTTTTAATTATGTTTTGTTTTGTACCATCTTCTATCTATCATGCAATGTGTGTGTGTGTGTCAGTGGGACTAGAGATGGAAACTAGCTTCTCTCTAACTCCTGCATATTTATGTATTATGTGCTTTTATCAATGTGCTTTGTCCCATTAAAACATCTAACCGGATGTGTAAACGGGTTTGAATAAGCAGGGGAAAACACACAAACTAGAATAGTTTACTGACATGTTTGCAGGAGTTTTCCTGAGGCTGGTGCAGATTTTCTAAATAGAATAAAGTTTCATCAAATCTACAGTTTATTCAACTTAAGACAGATATTTCTTTGTGTTTGACTTTTCTAGGCTTTTAAATAGTATTTTTTAGTAAAGTTTTTGATTACATTTAGATTTTTATTCAATTTTATGCTGTTATCTTTTTATTTCTATTTATCTATTTTGTTTCATTGATCTGTTGTTTTATATGTATTTTATCTGGACCTAAGAGTCTGTCAATAAAGATTATCTATCATCTATCTATCTATCTATCTATCTATCTATCTATCTATCTATCTATCTATCTATCTATCTATCTATCTATCTATCTATCTATCTATCTATCTATCTATCTATCTATCTATCTATCTATCTATCTATCTATCTATCTATCTATCTATCTATCTATCTATCTATCTATCTATCTATCTATCTATCTATCTATCTATCTATCTATCTATCTATCTATCTATCTATCTATCTATCTATCTATCTATCTATCTATCTATCTATCTATCTATCTATCTATCTATCTATCTATCTATCTATCTATCTATCTATCTATCTATCTATCTATCTATCTATCTATCTATCTATCTATCTATCTATCTATCTATCTATCTATCTATCTATCTATCTATCTATCTATCTATCTATCTATCTATCTATCTATCTATCTATCTATCTATCTATCTATCTATCTATCTATCTATCTATCTATCTATCTATCTATCTATCTATCTATCTATCTATCTATCTATCTATCTATCTATCTATCTATCTATCTATCTATCTATCTATCTATCTATCTATCTATCTATCTATCTATCTATCTATCTATCTATCTATCTATCTATCTATCTATCTATCTATCTATCTATCTATCTATCTATCTATCTATCTATCTATCTATCTATCTATCTATCTATCTATCTATCTATCTATCTATCTATCTATCTATCTATCTATCTATCTATCTATCTATCTATCTATCTATCTATCTATCTATCTATCTATCTATCTATCTATCTATCTATCTATCTATCTATCTATCTATCTATCTATCTATCTATCTATCTATCTATCTATCTATCTATCTATCTATCTATCTATCTATCTATCTATCTATCTATCTATCTATCTATCTATCTATCTATCTATCTATCTATCTATCTATCTATCTATCTATCTATCTATCTATCTATCTATCTATCTATCTATCTATCTATCTATCTATCTATCTATCTATCTATCTATCTATCTATCTATCTATCTATCTATCTATCTATCTATCTATCTATCTATCTATCTATCTATCTATCTATCTATCTATCTATCTATCTATCTATCTAAATGACATCCTTTCTAAATGACATCCTTTTTAACTGTCTAACTGTTCTGGATGTTTGGTATTTCGACGACTACTCCTGAACACGGTGACTGTTTAGTTTGAGATGGCGTCTTGTCTCTGTGTCCTCCTGCAGTGACGTTTGGTCTCTGGGCTGCGTCCTCTACGAGCTTTGCACCCTCCGACACCCGGTACTTCCTCTTTCCTGCTTCTGCACTTGAACTGTTGCCCTTTTTTTTGCCGGGTATCCGCGGGTCCTTAAAAAGTCTTAAATTTGCTTTTCCAAATTTAAGGCCTTAAAAATCCTTAAAAATGACAAATAATCCTTAAATACAGTTTCCAAAGGTCTTAAATTACCAAAGACCCAATAAACAAAATTATTTTGTTTATTAAATTTTGTGAAATTTTAGTTAGTGTTCAGCATTTTTTTGTGTATGATATTGGCATAAGCAGAACCGTACACATTCAGTTGGTTGTGAAAGGATTAATTTTAGATGAGCACATTAGCTGGTTAAGCTAGTGGGAGCTTGCGCCATGGGGAAGTGCAAGTTTAATGGTAACTGCCTGGATGGCTAATCCCACTTTTGCGATGTGGTTAGCACCAGTTCCAGGCAGTAGCTAGAAATTATAGCTTAAATTTAATTTCAAAAGTAGCTTAAATTTGGTCAAAGTGGCCTTAAAAAGGTCTTAAAAAGTCTTAAATTTGGCTCCCTTAAACCTGCAGATACCCTGTTTCGAGTGAAACACACTTCAGCTACAGCACAGCGTTTCAACGGAGTGACCGACATCGTCCGAATTAGCTCTCACTCTCCCATTTGTCTTTCCCGTGTCCAGTTCCAGGCGTCTAGCTGGAAGAGTCTGATTCTGAAAGTGTGTCGGGGTGCGTACCCTCCCCTCCCCGCCCACCTGCCTTACGAGCTGCAGTACCTGATCAAGCAGGTTTTTAAGATAAACCCAAAAGACAGACCGTCCATACACACCATCCTGAGCTCCCACCGGGTTTCCAGGCTCCTGCGTTCCCATCTGCCCTTGCAGGTACAAGCTCGAGTTTTAGAGACAGCTGTGGTAACGCTGTGTGGAATCTGATCTGAGATGAGCTGCTGTTGGTCCAGATGTGATCTGAGCTCGTTTCTTCACTCGTACCTTTACAGGTCATTGAGACCGAGGACGCAACAAGACCTTTAGGTCGATGGAACAAGGAGGAGGGAAGGAAGGTGGCTAAGTCTCTAGGAGAGAAAACTTTATTAACAACTTCAACAACGGAAGGTAAAAATCAAGAGCAAAACAAAAAAAGAAATGTTGTTTATTAAGAAAGCAAATGAAAATGTCCCCAACTAGGATCCTATGAAAAGACGGAGCCGGCTGTTCGAAAGCAGTGGGGATCGGAGCCTCCAGACGCCGTCCTGCAGATGTTAGCCTGCACCAGCCTGGTCTCATCAGGCAGCGTGGCATCTACCCAGCAAATGGCCTCCACCCAAGAAAGTAGGACAGCTGCAGCTTCTTTATTAAAGAAAAAGTGCACCTTTGAAGAGAACATGATGAGGATGTTCTTTTCCTTGTTATTCCAGGTGTGTCGGATGATCCGGGAGACGGCAGGCAGAGGAGACGGTGGGACAGGGGTCCTCCTGAGAGGCTTCTGAGCCTGTTGGAGAAGGCCCAGCCGAACAAAGCTTTTAGCACCTTTTTGATACAAAGAGGAGGTAGTTTTTAAATGAAAGATTGATTTTTATTGTTGTAAATTAACAACAGAGTTTCCATGATCTATTTTTAGATGACAACCCTCTGATGGGGCCCCTTTCCCCGCCGCGGGGCGATGACATTGACGGCTCCAAGCCGGAGGTGGTTTTAGACGAGGGCAGAATGCAGCCGCGCTCAGATGATGAGGACACGTAAGACGCGGCTATTTTTAACACGACGGATGAAATGTTCTTTTGTATCGCATTAATGCACTAGTGATCGAAATCGGCCGATCCGAAACTCAAAAGGCTTTCCTGTTCTTTAAACTGAACAAAGCTAATTGAAATCAGCCAAAGTCAGTATCCATATTAGGGTGAGTATTGGCCAGTACCGTATTTATCACAATACAGGGCCATATTTTATAAGCCAGACGATATTCGTAATGAGAATCAGCTCCTCTAAATCCAAGACCATGGTCTTGAATCAGAAAAGGGTAGAATGCCTTCTCCAGGTCAGGAATGAGGTCCTGCCTCAAGTGGAGGAGATAAAGTATCTCTGGGTCTTGTTCATGAGTGAGGGAAAACAGATGAGATCGATAGGCGGATTGGTGCTGCATCTGCAGTGATGCGGGCGTTGTACCGATCTGTCATGGTGAAGAGAGAGCTGAGCCAGAAGGCAAAGTTCTCCATTTATCGGTCGATCTGCGTTCCTACCCTCACCTATGGTCTTGAGCTTTGGGTAGTGACCGAAAGAACGAGATCGCGGATACAAGCGGCCAAAATGAGTTTTCTCCACAGGGTCGCTGGGCTCTCCCTTAGAGATAGGGTGAGAAGCTCGGTCATCCGAGAGGGGCTTGGAGTAGACCCGCTGCTCCTCCACATCGAGAGGAGCCAGGTGAGGTGGCTCGAGCATCTAGTTAGGATGCCTCCTGGACGCCTCCCTGGTGAGGTTATCTGAACACATCCATCCAGGAGGAAACCCAAGGGAAGACCCAGGACACGCTGGAGGGACTATGTCTCTCACCTGGCCAGGGAACTCCTTGGAGAGGGAAGTCTGGGCCTCTTGGCTTAATCCTAATTTATATTTCGTCGTCAGCTCCACAAGGGAGAGACACTCACGCACAGACGGAGACATTTAGCTCTCGGACTTCTCCGTCTCCTGTGGAGTGTTGCAATGCAATTCCCTGCCAGGACAACAGAGGGCACAGCGCTGTTCTGTGTTTCCTGTCATGTATCTGGTCCAAGATAGTGTGTCTATATTTGGGTTTTTTGTTGCGAGGGATTCTTCAAGCTGCTCCGTGTCTGCCTCTAGATATCCTCAGCTCTCTTTATGTTTTTGAGGGTGCAATGGCGGCTTCCTAACCAATCAGATGCTTGTGTTCTCCATCTCGTCGGACGGATGTTTAGAAATGAGAGCGCGACTCCATCCGTCCTTGCGAGTCTGCTGGAGAGCCCTTGCAAGGCCGGATGATGGCGTTGCGCGTCTCCGTTCCAACGCAGACGGACAAGTTAGACTTTAGACTGCTGCCCCCGCGACCTGATCCCAGAAAAGCAGCTGAAAATGGATGGATATTTGTAATTTTAAGACTGAATTCAATCGGAAAACTCAGGTCAGACGCTTCCAAGACACATCCAGTGTCATCGAGAGCTCTCGTTCTGTCAGAAGGAAGGCGGTGAAAGCTGCTGCCGCCTAGCAGAGTTTGAATTGCACCACATTAAAGGAATACACAAAAAATTTGAATGTAAATTCTCAATAAAAAATTTGAAACGCTGCTTTTAAATATCGATCAGTCTCATGAAATGAAAATTCATATTTCAGTGAATCGCTATTTTCTAACGTCCCTATTTAACACCGATTTGTCCGCAAAACTAGAAGGAGTGCATCCGTATGTTAAACGCTTTGATAGAAGTAATATTTATATTCTGCTTGGACTTTGAAGCTGCTGATTGTTTTGTTATTTGTATAAAAATATCCTTATTGTTTGTTCTCCACTCACAGGGACTTTGAGGAAGAATCTTCATGTGACTGGATGGAAGAAATGGAGAAAATCTTTTCATAACGTGCACAACCAATCAATCAGCTGTCACCATTCATGTTTACTATAAACACAAACGTTGTGCCAAACTTTTATTTGCATGTGGTTTTAAGGAACATTTGTAGGAATTTGTGATGATTGGATGCTTTGAAAACAAAAACACTAAAATTTTAAGCTGAATGCTTTCATAAAGTTTACGTATGTCTTTGATTTAATGAGCTGTTTGGACCGTCGGCGATAACGCTCCCTGGAATTTGAAGGCCATCGTGGAACTTTGTGTTATCCTCTTTGAGAAAACAGGAAATATTAAGCTGCATCTTTTAAAAGTTGATTTGAATTTCTGAAAGTAGACAAAACATTAACATTGTTTGGCTTTGACACTACCCATGCATCTGTGGCTGCAGGGGTGTGTTTAGTGTGTTTTGCACTACTTCAACCAGTGGCGGTTCTACATCGAATTACTCCCCGGGCGAGGCCCCCTTTGAGCGCCCCCCCCCCCCCCCCCCAACCGCCCCCCACCACCACCACACCACCCCAACTGCACGAACACACGCATGTTTTCTACAAACAGGCATGATTTATTAGAACGACTATTGAACATTCATTTTTCTAAGTTGCACATATTTACATTAATTACTATGAAGTTGTCAGAATGTAAAGCAATTAACATTATATACTGTATCAAAATATATAGAATCAAATATACAAAAACAAACAATAACTAACTATTAAGAATATATGAACATAATATATAATAAATATTCTAAATAGCAAAAATATTTCACACATAACAAACTAAAGATAATCACTACAGCATTGCACTTAGAACAGAAAACACAAACTAAAATTAAAACCTAACCTTGATGCAAAGTCATCAATAATGTCATCATATGAAATCTGCTCCCCTACTGAGTGATTGATACTAATCAGAGCCAGGTTAGTGAGCTGCCCCTGAAACATAGGTGACCTCAGGTATGACTTGATCAAGTTTTGAAAAGCTCCTCTCAGCTGGAGCCACAGTGACTGGCAGAGCAGTCCAAAAGTTGGGATAGATCTCCAATAGATCTTTATCATGATCCATAATATGTTAGAATTGCCCCTGAAATTGTAATTTAAACTGACATAAAAATAACTGTAGACTACCAAAAATGCCAACTTTTACAGAACAAATCATGTAAAAAATAATCAGTGCAGCCATCTGCAATAAATAAACAGGATAGTTAGTGGTGACTGGGGAGTTTTCTTCTGCTTGTAGAGTTGTTTTATTTATTATGTGAACATGATCAACATGTGTTTGTTGTTGTTCAGGCAGGCCACAGGCTGCAGCGAGCATTTAACAAATCCTAGTTTGAATCAGTAAAAAACGATTCAAGGACTTTTTTTGAACCATTTGAATATTCGTTTCAATATTTCAGCCCTATTAGCTCTGTTAGCAATTAGTTGACCGCATTTAACCGTTACAATCCCAGTTAACTGGTTCAAAAAATGTAAAACATGCATCATGAGAGCTACATACCTTTATCTTTCTCCTTTTTTCCTTTTCCCCCTGAATCGGGCACCTGTTGGTTTTAGCCTTTTTATGTTCATCTCTTCTGTTTGGCTCCTGACTCAGTAAGTTTCCTTTAGTCAGGACTAAACAATTTGACCTTGATGGGGGGGGGGGGGGGACCACAAAATGGTTTTGTTTTTCCTTTTTTTATTCGGCCATTTCACACAATTCAAAGAAACCTGAAAGAATGAAAGGCCTGTGTTTATGATATTATGAATGAAATATGGAAGAACGTTAAGATGTGATTGACTTTAGCCATATTAATACAGTTGATTCAGCCCCTGCACGCTCATTTCATTTGGGAAAGACGCAGAGGTGAATTCCCCCGCCGCACCCCTCCCCTTCCTTTTCTTCATAGACACACGGTGCACGTGAACGTTCTAAGTCAGCAGGAGCGCCTGCAGCTGCAGGGGGCGCCAACTTGCTGTTTCCAATCCAGACACTGTCATATGACAGATAATAGAAAACCTCGGTGCGGCGCAGATTTCCTTTTTTTTTTTTTTACTCCGCGCTTGTGCGCCCCTTTTGTGTCATGAAAAAATGCCGCCCCGGGCAACTGCCCTGTCTGCCCGTGCCTAAAACCGCTACTGACTTCAACCACTAGATGGTGTTGATACGACTGTGCACAAAAATAAACTCATTTCAAAATCCTGTAAATAAACATCCAAGTGTGATTGCCTGGTTAGATGTGAGATTAAAGAGCAAGTCAACCCCAAATCACATTTTTTTTTTTTGCTGATAAACTATATAAAGGAGTGTCTAATCATGCTACAGACGCGTGTAGTCAATAATTTGGCAGTTCAGGGCATCTTGGTTAAAATTCAAATATTCTGCCTAAAACTGTCAAATGTTGCGCCGTCGTCAGGCGGAAAATTCTGCACTGTATTTGAATTTAAATCTGCCACCGCTATTGGCTAAGAGGTATGCTATGATGTCATCTGGTACATTATGATGTCATAATGCCATTGTGAGCCTGTGTGTGTGTATTTGTTAGCGGCTCTGCCCTCGGTCTGCCAAGCAACAGCATTTGTTGCATTTTTCAAACATGAAGTGGGAGTGAAGTAAGTTTCTTGTAGGGGGTGACTTGCTCTTTAAAGGCATGACTGTCTGCTCATTCATTCACACCCAAGTAGAACCGGCTAGTGTCTCGGTTTCCCCAAACAAAAGCCTCACACTGAAACAATAGGAAAACCACCACAGACACCAAACCCATGCAGGTGTCGCCCAGTACAGTTAAGGCTCAACGACATAAAAAAAACAGCCAAGAACGCCACGGTGGTGATGATTCACCAACAGTCGTTCGCAGGATGGATAATCCAGCTGGCAGGGTTTATCCTGTGAATGAGACCTCCTAATGGCTGAGGGGTGAGCTAGCTCCATGTTGTGCGACTCTTATCGGCTTCAGATGTTATTTTATTCATTTATTGAGGAAGTTCAGGGCTGCTGCTCTGCTCTTATCTTGAAGTCCCAACGAATCCCCTTCCAGGGCTCACACTCCAACCCCCCTGCCCTCGCTCTCTGTCATCCTTTTTCTAAAATATTTTCACTTCCTTTTTTAACCCCCCCTCTAAAAACTGTTCGTGTTCAGCAAAGATACAGATGAATTAATGCAGCCTGTTACAGCATCACTGTGTTCTGTGTCCTGCAGATAGGAGGGTCTCCCGTCAGTGGGCTGACAAGTGTTCTCAGACGTATTCCTCATGGTTTTATACCTCAAATATACTCAAATGAGAAGCAAAGCTCACATTTAAAAGTGTAGATTAAATCCCGTTACAGGTCTGAATCCTACAGGTATTATTTATTACGTAAATATATGCACAATCGGTGTTGGCTGGTGTAAATGATTTTAACATATCGATCCGATAAGTAAAACATGGACAATATTAACATCCAGTGTGTTTTTTTCCACCTTATTTTCTGTTTGTAAACATGTTTCACCATGGGAAGGGGCTTAGCTATGTGGTATTTGTTTCCACCGCTGTCAGAACGTATGGATAATTATTACTGGACCTTCATGGTATGCAATTGTCTCCATTTCTCCTGGACAATGTTCGGTGTCATTTCAGGAATCAAACAAGTACCTTCCTTAGGGTTTGTGCTCAGAAAAATGGCCTGTATTTGATATAGCGCCTTCTAGAGTCCTGGAACCCCCCAAGGTGCTTTACAACACAATCAGTCATTCACCCATTCACACACTGGTGGGGATGAGCTACAATGTAGCCACAGCTGCCCTGGGGCGCACTGACAGAGGCGAGGCTGCCGAGCACTGGTGCCACCGGTCGCTCTGACCACCACCAGCAGGCAACGTGGGTTAAGTATCTTGCCCAAGGACACAACGACAGCGACAAACTGAGCGGGGCTCGAACCTTCAACCTTCCGATTACGGGGCGAGCATTTAACTCCTGTGCCACCGTCGCCCCAGAAAAGGCCTGGAATAGTCGTTGGGTCGGACCAAGGAGCAAACTCCGCCTACCAAAAGTGAAGCCAATGTGGAATAACATGAACTGTAGTTTCCCCCTCAACCACTAGAGGCTGGCTCCAGGAAGGAGCCAATTTCCGTTGACTCAGGTTTCAGTTTTGAGGATGCGAGTACTCGTTGCTGCGCTGTGACGTCATCGACCTCAAAATGCACTCTTACAAGCATCCTTCCCATGGATTCGGACACACCCAGTGTTGCCAACTAATGACTTTCCGTTGCTGATGATGATGTCAACTTCATTGGAGAAATAAACGTGTTTACAGCCTGGTTTAAAAAATTATTTTGGGTTTAACAGGGCAAGCAGAGGACAGCAGATAGTCACTCATTCGTGATTTTATGGCTAAAAAAGCCAACCTCTGTTAGCTTCAGTTAGCTTGTAGCTACATCGGCTCTGAGATTGTTGGGTGCCCCCAACCTCACAGCCCAACTCTCAGCTCAGATACGCAGCCAAAATGGTGTGGTGGGAACCGCCCACTGGGCTTCACATCAGCTCTTAAGAAACCAACCTATGACATCACAGAGTTCGTCCAGTTTTTGTGTTTTCAATAATACACAGAGAAGCAAAGTTGTTCACCTTTTTTTCATTCATTACTTATACATACAGTCATTGGGTGGGATTTGTGATTAACTTGTGCTGACTGGTTGAAACTCAGTGAGAAATTATATCAACAAGATGTCCCAACCAACATTTGTAAAAATGGAATCCCTCCACAATGCAATAATTTACACCTTTTTTTATGTTACGCGGCCGCTCTACCCATCCCGTGTACATCATAAATTACAGCATGCTTTGAGTGTATAAGACAACTTTAATGCTATGAACTTTATGCTATCTATCTATCGATCTATCGATAGATCGATAGATAGAGAGAGAGAGAGAGAGAGAGAGAGATGGATGTGTGTGTGTGTGTGTGTGTGTGTGTGTGTGTGTGTGTGTGTGTATTTTATATATTGTATCACTTATTACCTGTGAAAAATGTTTTATATCAGGTTTTTGCTTCACAGGCTTTAGTAATAGGGCTTCATGTTGACACCAATGGAAGCATTGCTTCGTAGCAGAAGGTTGCAGGTGTGGATCAATCAATCAAACTTTATTTGTATAGCACTTTTCATACAAAAGAAAATGCAGCTCAAAATGCTTTACAGATTAAAATGACAATCCCAGTTACAGCCTTTCTATGTGGACGCAGCATGTTCTCATGCACGTGTTTGATTTCTTAGGTGCTACGGTTTCCTCCCACAGTCCAAAAACATGCACACTCAGGCTAATGGAAGACCAAATATTCAATCCGGGGCCTGGGGGGAGCGGTATCCAGCACGTTTTAGTGGTTTCTCTGGTCCAACACACTTGATTCAGTGGTTGAGTCATCTGTGCATCAGCATAACAGGCTCTGCAAAAGCCTGT